TTTTTGGTTACCTGGAAGCGGTACCGCGGTGCGTGCGTACTCGTTACACGATCACCACAAGGTACTTCAACTGTTGCTTTTTTTGTCGCGCTCAGTTCAGCTGTGTGCGTCCCCTGCCGTGGGGTAACCACTTGCTTCGGGCATTTTGGTCGTTTGCTGTATTTCCGGATGGGTCTAGCTGTTGTGATCCGTGAACTTAATTCTGTTATTTTTGCCCCAAGTGTGACGATTTGTGAATTCGCTCTTTCTTCGGCCCCTGACAATAGCTTCTCGTACTTGTGTGTGATACAAGTGATGCATTTTACAATCGGGATTTCCGCGCATTCTGTACAGAACCATATACGTTCTGGCTGAGCGGCTAACTGTTTTGCCTGTTTTAGGAAGAGTTTGGCACATGAAAGGTGAGTGTTTTAGGCAGTGTGCAAAATATCCCCGTTTTATCTTCTTACAACTCCGTAGGTCGTATACTTCCGATGCCATCAAAACAATTGGTGTGGCACTCGTTGACACTATGCAACGTCCTATTTTTGCACTTTATCGAGCGGAGAGACCGACGAAATATGAAAAGGTCACGTGAAGCCAGAGAAGTTCTCTCGGTCGCCCGCTCGTCCGGATCGGTGGAGGTCACAAGTACACGGAACAGTGACAAAGGTCACTTGGGAAATATCGATCGGCTTTTCTGGCCGCAGTGGAACAGACACAAGTGCGACTACAAGTGGCAGCTATGATTGCACTGAACTGCACAAATAGATCTGTAGAATGCTTGAAATTGAACTTAGAAAGCTCAATCAAGGCTCGTTGGAAAGGTTGTTGAATTTCCTATCGAGCGATATCACAATGTTGACACAGCAAATAAAATTTAGGTATTGATTGGATAGCTGGAGGAAATATGTGCAACATAGACTACGCTAATGACATCGGCCGTCTGTTCGACTGTATGGAGGATTCGCAAAGTGCACTGTTAAAATAGTAATAATAACAATAATAATAATAATAATAAAATAAATTTAAAGTGACAGTAAAATAACTCAACAGACTGACAATTTCTGTCGCTCCTTTCGAAATGCATTTTGCATCTTCAAAGAGCAAAGTAAAGCTTCAAGACCGGGTGTCGCCGAGTCCTGTTCTGAAACTAGACGGTCAGGAGTTAACCGAAGTTGATTGCTTCTCCTACTTGGGCAGCTGCGCGAACAACGACGGTATAGCATAAAAGGAGATCAACGCTCACTTTTACGAGACTCGAGCAGCTTACGCAGAACGGAAACACCTATGGTGACGACGTGACGTTTCATTGAAGTGAAAGTCGTAGCGCATAATGCACCACTGTACGATCAAATCTGCCTTACGATTTTGAGACCCTAAATTTGCGGGTCGAGGACAGTCATCGGTTGGAGGTTTTCGAAAATCGATGCTTTGGTAATGTGGCCCAGGTGGTGTGGAATGAACAGGTTAGTAACCTAGAAGTAAGTCATTGGGTGTTTGAGAATGCATCAAAGAAGAACTCGCTCTCGCAGCGAATTCAGCTTAATAGGATCCGTTGGTTAGGATGCGTTTGGCTTATGTCTAACGATCGCCTCCCGCACCGTTCTTTATTTGTAGTAGCCGTTGCAAGCAGAAGAAAGCCATGTGGAGACCAGAGGATGAAGTGGAGAAGAGGCATCACGAATTGCACTTAGCGATTAGCCATAGTAGACGTCTCTTGTATTTCGGATTGGAGTCCAAAAGACTCCATAACTGGATGGTTGAAGGGGGATCATATTAACAAACCGATCGCAATGGCTTTCTTGTTGCCACCCTTTATCTGACCAGAACGCTTGAAACAATGTGTATGCACAGCCGGACTTGAATTTGGTAGCGATTAGTGAAGTTCACTTCCCTGTACTCCGCTCTACGATGTTCATGATGATGATGATGATGATGGTCGGATGCGAAATCGAGTCAATAAACGACAACGTACAACTATGGTAATGTCAATCAAGTTGCACGAATTTCGTCGCAATTTTTGTGATTACCGTGGTACTGAGGGATAGCTCATCTCGAACGAATGTCCACTGAAGTATAGTACTAGAAAGGAACATAATAGATTCGTTATATCTGTATGCCATAAGAAACTCAGGTTTGTTTGGGAACGCATGCGGATCAGGATGTCTTGTGAATGCATCATGAGTACCTGTAACCGTGTTTATACAGCGTTTTGACTTTAGTCAAACATAATTAACTAGTTTGATTTGTGAAGAAAAATCTTTTTGAGATTATCCCCGTGGTAATCTAGTCACCGCTTTCACAGATTCGTTTGGCGCAAATGCTTAAGCACTTTCTTAAGAATGTTACGTTATTAAGTCATCATTAAGTCACAACACACACACACACACGCGTTTCTTGATTGTCTCAACAAACAGTGCAGCTCCATCAGTTTCACAATGGAGTCAGACGACGGGAACAGTCATCACTTTACTAGACTGTTACTTCAGGGTGATCGACTCACGCATATTCACCACCAGCGTTCACAGAAAACCGACACATTCGGATAAACTTTTACATTTTGAATCACCTCACCCGCAATGCGTAAAACGCACTCTTATCTCATCTCTGGCTGGCAGAGTCAAAAAGCTGTGTAATGAAGACAAAAACCGCCAAATGGAAATGAAACGCCTCGAAAAAGTGCTAGAAGACAATTATTATCCGCCACTCCTCGTAAGATCCCGGCGATCCCAGTTGAAGGCCAACAAACCAATGATACAACCCAATGACAGAAAAGACCATGTAGCCTCTATTCGTATTCCATATAGATCAGGCACTTCAGGAGCAATCAGAAAGATTCTCGGCGATTTCAACATGCAAACATTCTTTCGGGTTGAAAACACTCTGAAACGCCATCTCGTGAAAGCCAAAGATCCGGTCGAATTGCAAGATCAAAACAACTGCATTTACAAAATCAGTTGTAAGAAGGCCCCGCTGAATACATTGGGCAAACCAGCAGAACACTCAAGACAAGAATAACCGAACACACGAGAAAAGAAAAACACCAGCCTGCGGAAAAAGGAACTCTGGTAAAACTAGAATGAGATTCAGCGATCGCGATAGACAGCGATAGACTACGACAACCCTAAAATACTTCAAATCGGATTTCGAACATGCTTAGACACTTTGATTGTTTTTCATTTCTATGCATGTAATGTGCATGGTTACTGTCCTAGTAGTTTTCAGCTGGGCTTCCTGTTCCAGCCTAAACGACAACCACAACTAATACGCATAAAGTTGCAATTCGATTTAGTTGGATAGATATTTGGTCCAACATCGAGTGAATGATTGGGAGAAAATGCATTCCACGGGATCGGTTTAAAGATACTAATGAAAAGATTCTACGATGAACATAAGTACATGCTCTAACTAATTATTTTGTTCAAAATATCATCAGTTAACTCATTGTTCTTTATTTATTCTCCATGTGGATCACCGTGATGGCTATTCGAATGCTGCGCCAAACCGTTGCTTGATCGGATATGATTGCAATCGCGCTGTGTTGTTGTGACTATTACAGATGATCAATCATTGTTTCTGTGACAGTTACCGGATTCAGTAAGTCACAAGTTACTTATTTCACTCTCCGCACTACTGCCAAGAACTGAGGAAGATTAGAAAAAGATGTAGTCAGAGGATGATGAGCTATATCCATTGGTCTACAACTCAAAATAGAGCTGAGCAAACCGAGTTAAAGATAAGTAAGTGAATAATATGTGAAATATGCATGTGTGGATGGGTGTGCTTTCAGTGAACAGTATAGGTTGGGGTAGGGCGGAGAGGCAAAGAGGGCTGAATTTGCAAGCAAAACAAGGACAGAGAGAGACCATAAGGGAAATTGGAATGTGCTCAAAGTGAAGTTGAGCAAACCAGTTCAAGTTTGTTACACGCGTCAAACTCGAATAGTGTCGAGTAAAACCAATATGACCAATTAAAAATGTCACAAGTTCTAAGCTTGTAACCAAAAAACTTAGCAAATAATGAGGAGTTAGTAACAGGAATTATAATTGGTATTGAGTGGGACTCTGGGCCTCAAATTTTTGCTCATCTCGACAGTAATCGAGTAGATGACGAAGATGATGATGACCACGTCCAGTGTTATTCACTCGATCTGTACCTCATCGTCCACTGTGGCATCTTGAAATTGTTGATACTCGCTGATCAAATCGTTCATATTGGCCTCAGCTTCACTGAACTCCATCTCATCCATGCCTTCACCGGTGTACCAATGCAAAAATGCACGTCGTCGAAACATGGCTGAAAACTGGTCACCTACACGTTTGAAAATCTCTTGAATCGCTGTGTTGTTCCCGATAAATGTGACGGCCATTTTTAATCCACGTGGAGGGATATCACAGACAGCAGTTTTCACATTGTTCGGAATCCATTCCACGAAATAAGCACTGTTCTTGTTCTGCACATTCAACATCTGTTCATCAACTTCTTTCATAGACATCCGACCACGAAACATTGCGGCCACAGTCAGATATTTCCCATGTCGTGGATCACAAGCAGCCATCATATTCTTGCTGTCGAACATCTGATGGGTCAAATCTTGAACGGTATAGCTTCGATACGGCTGTGAATGACGACTGGTCAGTGGAGAGAATCCGGGCATGAAAAAATGCAATCGGGGAAACGGAACCATATTGGTAGCGAGTTTTCGTAAATCCGCATTCAGTTGACCGGGAAATCGCAAACACGTGGTCACTCCGGACATAGTTGCACTGACCAGATGATTCAAATCCCCATAAGTTGGTGTGGTCAATTTCAAGGTTCGATTGCAAATATCATACAGGGCCTCGTTGTCAATACAGAATGTCTCATCACAATTTTCAACCAGTTGGTGTATGGACAGTGTAGCATTGTACGGTTCGACAACAACATCAGATACCTGGAAAGAGGCAGATGATGAAATGTAGAGTATTCGTTGAATCACCTTAGTTTAAAGTATGTTCCTAGGTATCATATCGAATAAATGAGATGTCGGCACGCACAAACTAGACAACGGTTGCGCTTAACTCATCACACATGTCATTAGAAACACTGCCCAAAACAAGTTGCATGAGATAGCATTTGGCTTTAAACGCATACTGCTTAACAGAAGAAACAAAATTGACTGGTACTTTTCCCTTATGTCTTTAATCTTAGTAAATGCTTTTCTTCCTCATCTCCCGATTCTCGCTCAGAACATATAAATGCACGCAGTGAGACCTGCAGGGTTTCTGTCGTTAGTTTTTTTTCGCTAGATTTCTTATCAATCAGGAGAACGCGTTTTATCTGATCTGAGCATAAGGTTAATTTAAATTAGTCATTATGCCTGGGTTATTGCCAGTGATACTGTTTGTTGTTGGCTTTGTTGTGTTATTTCGTCCATTTTTTATCCATAGTCGTAATGTGATTGCTGGATAATACCCGGTTCAGGCACATAAAGTGATTATTGGGCAAAATGTTCTCTATCTTTACTGTGATGAACCACATAAGGCCCGACTAGATTCGACGTGATATTGATCCGGATTATAGTGAAGCTGTCTAAAAGTTAACCTCAAGTGAATACGCCACCTGAAAACTTCCTTTGGTGCTAGGCCACTGTGATCGTGGAGATGAATCGAGAGCAATTATTGTATAGTGCACGGAACGCCTATTTTGCATCCGTCCCATCATTCTACATTATTTCGAGAATCTGACACGCTGCAAGAAGAAGCCTTTCTACGAAGAACTTCACTGGGTACTGGTTATTCAGAGAAATCTATTAGTATGCATCACAGAAAAAGACCACTGTCTGAGAAATACCGAAGAAATGCGTCAGAAACTCAAGGCGGTTTTGTAGCCTGGTATAATATCATACACTCAGGGAATTCTTCTGTACAAACGAAAACAGAACCAACCGCCCAATTCTGCTTCGCATGTCATATATTAGTTCACCTGCAGTCGCAGTGACACTTACATCAATAGAACGAATAGACCCTTGTCATCAAGGATGTCCGAACACATTTCCAAATGGTTATTGTAGTCTATGACGCAACATAGTCTCAGAGGTCAATCTGATAAGATAATTCCAGGGTAATCAATCTTAAAATATCGTTGATCCACATTTTCCGTTTAAGCCGTTGTTTCATAGAATGAGTCCCAGGCTCTTAGCTTTAAGCGAAGTGATGGTAATCAAGTAACGTAATGCTGTTTTATGTGCACAAAAGATTCTGACACAATGTTACAAATAGCTATATTTCCCCCGCTCAGTTAATTGACGACTGAAGGAGTGTCAAGTGGAAGATACAGAATGCAGATTATCTAGGTGTGCACAAAAAGTGAAAGACAACACGAGCGTTATTGTTTATGAAACTCAATCATATCATTCATTGTCTCGAACAATTGATTCCCTTGGTCACAGATTCCCCAACCAGGAAAATTAACTCAACCTCGACAAACATCGCTCGCCGGTGAAATGTGTAGTGCACATCTCGGTCATCAATCAAGGACTTGCTTTCGAGGTTGAGTTAATTTTCCTGGTTGGGG